TAAGTAGTAATTTGGTCTCAGGTATGAAACTGAGTAAAAATTGATCCAACAGTCTTATGGCAAAGCCCAAGGGTTATCAGCCAAACCGCCAAGTTCAAAGGACAAATATGTCCTCAGAGGTCAGAGGTGCCTGTTAGCAAAGGAAATGAGTGTTACCCTGCTTGGCAAGGGGGCTAAGGCTTCACAGTGGAGAAAAGACAATCTCTTCAAGAAGTAGCGCTGGGGTTACCGATGTGTACATGTAATAGAATGAAGTTAGGCTCTTAACCATATATTGCAATTACCTCAACATCGATAAAAGACCTCAGTATAAGACCCAGACACTACAAAACCCTGTAGGAAAACACAGGGGGAGGTTTCATGACTTTGGGTTGGACAATGATTTCTTAGATATGACACCAAAGACACAGAGAACAAAAGCAAAAAATACATCTGTGGGACTGCGTCAAACTTCCAAATGACTGCATAGCAAAGAAATCTATCAACAAGGAAAAATGGTAGCATATGGAATGGGAGAAAATGTTTGCAAATCATATATCTAGTAAAGTGTAAATATCCAGAATATATAAAGAATTGCAAGTCAATAACATAAAATAATCTGATCAAAATAGCAAAGGTCTTGAGTTGGTACTTCTCCAAAGATGATATTCAAATGGCCAACAAGCATATGAAAAGATGTCCAACATCACTAGTCATCAGAGAAATGCAAATCAAAACCAGTGAGATTTTTCCCTCACACCCCTTCAGATAGCCATGTAAAGAGAAAAACAGAAATAAGTGTTGGCAAGGATATGGAGAAATTAGAACCCTATGCTTTGTCCACAAGGGTTGTAACATGGTACAGCTGCTATGGGAAATAGTATGGAGGGTCCCTAGACAACGAAAACTAGAACTACCATAGGATCTAGCAATCTCACTTCTGGGAAGATGTGCAAATGAATTCGAGACAGGATCTCAAAGTGATATTTCCAATCTTGTGTTCATTGCAGCACTGAAAAGAGACAGAAGCACCTTGATATCAATCAAAAGATGAATGAATAAAGAAATGCTGGTATATGCCTACAATGGACCATCATGCAATCTTTAAAAGGAAGAAAATTCTGACATCTGTTATAACATGGGTGAAACTGGAAGTCATTATGCTATATGAAATAAGCCAGTCACAGAAAGACAGATATTGTATGGTTCCATTGTTATGAGGTACATAGAAAAACCAAACTCAGGGAAACAGAAGGTAAATAGGTGGTTACCAGGGGGTAGGGGAGGAGAGATGGAGAGTTAGATGGTGTGAGATTTCTTCTGATGCTAATGAAATGTATCCTTCACATCAGGGTCCCTCACTCACACAGTCCCAGGGGTGCTAGCAATCTGCTGGAGTTGGGGCATCTCCATGTGAGTGTTAGGACAGCTACCTAGTAAGAGCTCAGGAGAAAGCATTCTGGACCTCCCAGGCACCCATAACTTCATGTCAGATACCATCTCACTCCTAAAAAGCATTCTTCCTCATCTTGTGCTGCCCTAGCCCCAGCTTCCTCGGGTGGAGGAGCTGGCATTTGGAAGCTCTCCTTGGTCCTATTATGTACAAGAATGACACTCATTGGTTCAGAGGAGCACAAGAGGATGAAGGCTGGGTTCCATGCAGATGCTCCTCCTGCCTATTCTAAGGGGGCTCACAGGTGCACCCTGAAAAGGCTCTTGGGACAATTATGGAAACCAAGATGAGAAATGATGTGCCTTAGCAGCACAAGAGAGAAAGGTGAGGGCTCTTAGGCTCCAATAGAATCAGGCTCTGAACCTGTGTCTTAGTCTGTGCATTAGTCTATATTCTGTTGAAATAACAAAATGCTTGAAGCTGGAAAATGCATAAAGAAAAGAGGTTTATTTAGCTCACAGTTTTGGAGGCTCTGGCTGTGTCTGTCACAGTTTGATAGACAGCATCACTGTGAGAGACCCTATGGCAAGAGATCAGGGAGGGCAGCCTTGCGTGTTTATAGCAAGGCCCTCCTGAAATCTAATCTGGGTCCCCTAAAACCACCTTAGTCCCTTCCAAGGGCTGCACCTTCAATGACCCCATGACCCCCTCTAGGCCATACCTCTCAAAGCACCCCCACCTCCCAACATGGCCACATGGAGGACCAAGCTTCTAAAGTGAGAACCCTGGGAGACCCAATCTCACCAAACCCAAACCATCCATCGCCAACTGCCCCCTAGCTTTGCTACATAATAAAATCACTAGGGGTTTTTGGAAGAATTCCATGCCCAGCTCCTGCCCAGACACCCTGACCTGGTGGGTGTGTTAGTTAGCTCCACACCACTGTGACAAAGTACTGAGACAATCAACTGCTACAAAAAAAAAAAACTTTATGTTGCCTCACTATTGGGGGAATTTCAGTTTATGGTCGGCCGGCCCTGTTAGTTTTTATCCTGTAGTGTGGGTGTGTCATGTCTGGAGTGAGAGGTGAAGAAAGGAAGATATCTGGGATCCCAATGTCCCCTTCAGGTACACGACCCCCATGACCTCTCTTCCTCCCACTGACAATCACTTCCTCCTTCTAGACCTGCCCCCATATCTTCACCTCTTCCCACCAAATCCACCCTATAACCTCACTTCCTCACACTAGGCTACCACCCCATGACCTTACTTTCTCACTCTAGGCCCCACCTCTTAAAGGTTCCACCACTTCCCAATAGTGCCACGAGCTGGGGACCAAGTCTCTAACACATGAGTCTTGGGGGACACTGACTCAGACAATAGGGATTGAGACAGATGTGACTCAGGCATCAAGGATCTAGAAAACTGGCTATTCCACATTAAGGTACAACCAAGGTAGGGATTCAGTCATTGGCCTAGAGTAAGGTGACGGCTCCCCTTGACCCACTGCACGGGTAATATGAGTCTGTTGGAAATGACCCCAGAGGTACCTATCCCTGACTGTACCTGAGATCACCTGGGGTGTGTCCAAGAGGACAAAACATTGTCCTTTCCCTAAGTGCAGCCCGGGCCCAGGGACTTTGGAAGGCTAGATGCAAGACAGCCTGCCCTGAACACTATTTCCCTGAGGAGACTCAGCAGGATCCTTCAAAGAGAGTGGAAGAGGAGGTGGGAGCATTGCTGCCCAGCACTGCAGACTCAGGAGAGGGCAGGGTCCACTCGGCATGGCTGCAGCTCCACAGGGCAGCTTGGTGGAGAATACAGGTAGCTTTACCAAGGCCCAAGTCATCCTCAGCAAGGGCTGGGAGCCTAGATCAACAGTTTATGTGCAAAGAGCAAAAGATTCTATTAGAGTGTGAGAGAGGGACAGAGAAAGAAGCAAGGAGGAGAGAGGGAGAGAAAGAGGGAACTTCTCTGCATCACACTTGACAGGGGCCAAGCTTAGAAGAGATGCAGATCTTTAGCCTCCAGGGACAGCCAATCTGACTTCAAGTCACACTCCTCCCTCGGGCTGCAGCTGCCACAGAACTGCCCAAAGCACGCCATCCTGCAGAGCCCAGAGCTTTCACTTGACTTGCAGCCACTGCTACACTCTGAGGACTGCCCAAGTTGCACTCATGGCTTTTGCCTCCCAGACCAGGAGTTCCTCTGCAGACCTTCAGGGTCTACACCTGCAGGTGCACTGAGTAGCCCTGGATGGCACCAAGGGCAGAGGCTTGAGAGCCAGTCATCTTGGTGACAAGACAGGAGCAGGGGCAAGGAGGACGGGCCCCCTTCTCAGTCCCAATCATCTCCCACCCCCAGGAGGATCCATGCCACCCGGGTACACAAGGGTCACTTCTGCTGCTGAAAGCACCCAGCCACTTGTGAGGAAATGGGAGAGGATGAGAAGTTCTGACCCCAGAATGCATGATTATTGCTCATCCTCTCTCTGAGTCCCCTTTTATTTATTTATCCCCACACAACTGACCTGGGCTCTGAACCAGGCTTATCCAGGTCCATCTGTGAACAAAACAGATTTCCCAGGGCACTAGCTCAGCTCCCAGTCACCAGCCCTGGCACCAAGCCTCACACACGCCCAGGCCTGTTGTCTCAGCCCCCAGCCCAGACCTGGAGAACCAGAGTCTTCATCAGAAATGACCCTGGGTGTTCAGGGGGACAGGAGAGTTGGGCAGTGTGGATTCAGGTTCTCGTTTCCATTAGTTGGAATCAGTGTAGACACCAAAGGCAGAGAGATTTGGTATCAAACAAAAATGACTCTGGCTGTTGGGTCTCTCTCAGGGATCTTGGAGTTGATCTTGTTTAACTACTTTTCATTTTATGGATGATAAAATGGAAACCCAGAGAGGCAATGTGACTTCTGAGGGAAGAAACCAGGATCAGAACCAAAGATTGAACTCTTGAGTTGAAAGTGCACAATCCATGTGCACACTAGCATAGACCATCCAGGCCTCGCCAAGGCTGAGCAAAGCAGGACAGAGATGGGGCGACTAGAAAGAAGAAGGGAAGGTGGCACCACAGCACCCCAGATCCTGAGGGAGCCTCAAAGATGGGGCAGTACAGGCCAGTTGTGCAGCTCCAGAAGTTGAGCCACACTTGAAAAACAAAACACACAAACAAAACAGACCTCTGGTTTCCATCTGACTTTGAGGAATGCATTCTGGGGCAGCCCAGGAAGATCGCTCCAGGGGTCCTTCTGCCTGTGCTCCCTCCAGAGGGACTCTGTAAGAGAACCTGGGAGACAGAGGCACCATGGAGAGGCTTCCCTATCCCTGCAGGGGCTGGATCGTGGATACTCAGCAGCTCCCCAACCTGCCAGACATGTAGGAGACAGCACATGACTGCAAGGGTCCGGGTTGTGGGAGGTGCTCACCCCCAAAAAGCACCCCTTTAACTCTGAGCCACTGAGCACAGATTGTCAAGACTGTCCCAGTCCTCAGTCCACCCTCCCCTCGTTTGAAGCATTCCACCCTACACTGCTTTAAAACTCCAACTCGCATCAACTTGAAAGAGGCCTCCCCAAACCAGCACATTTTATCAGAAACAGCTAGATTAAAACCAATCATACCTCCCCACCGCACCTCGAGGACTGTCAGCACAGTTTCCTGAGACCGGGAAGAGAGAGACTGGCAGATCTGGGCCAGGGACGTGTGACGGGCTGGTCGTTTCCTTTTCTTCCCATCTCCGTAATAAATAATCAATCTGAGAAAGTTGATAGAAAGAGGTAAGAGTGAAAAGTGGAAATGACACATTTATGAGAAGGATTTTTCCAGGGCTTCTTAAGTGTAATGCCTTGATTTTTTTTTTCAATCATATTAAAAGTAGCAGAGAACACCTGTTTCTTGTTATACCACCACAGCTCGGATGTGTGATTATATGGATCACACACTATCAGGAACAAAAAATATAAAATTAAATAAAACCCTGGAAAAAAATGGTTTGACAAGTTAACAAAATTTTTATGTTGTTTCCAGTTGAGAGAGAGACAGGGACAGAGAGAGAGACCAAACTGCCAGAGGATAGAAGCACTTTGTTTCTAGTTGAATTCTCATAAAAGGCTCCTGGATGCAATCTCTGACATTGGAACAAAAATCACATATTTTATGATGGATTTTTTAAAGTTTTCCTCCAAAGCTGACACTTTGGAATCAAAACTCGCTGGGTGCGTCTCAATCATGATGATCTAAGGAGAAGTATTTCTCAGCCCTGTGAGCTGGTCTTTCCACTAAAGTGAGTGAGAGGAGTTAAGGATCTGTTACTTGATCTAATAGCAATGACTTTCCAATAGACACGCACAGAATCATTGATCAGGAGCCCTCGCCTTGTTTGCATTGGCACAGTGTTCAATTTACACCAATTAAAGAATGCTCCGTTTGGGTATTGAAGAATAATTAAGAGATGCAAATCCCCCACAGGCTCCTAAAAATGACATCTGACTGGAATAGTGATTATGGCATGAAGGCAGCATTAGGATTTAAATATTTGACTGATACATAAAATCATTACAACATCTCTCCAGGAAGAGTGACATTAGGTCAATGTGTGTACTTGCCTGGTCACCCTAAACAAATTTGACAAGTCTAATTTTAAGTAATTGCTTCGAGTTTAGTGGCAGCTTCTGTCCCCACAAGGGCAGCCGTCTAGACCACATCTTGTAATTGAGATATGTCTTTAAACTGCATGTGTCATCCCCAAATGCAAATGCACTCTCAGAAAAGTCTCAGGGTTAGTGACAAGCCAAGGCATCCTTTTCAGTCACATTTCAATAAGCAAACTTTGCAGTAGATGTTGGTCCACTCATTGCCACATTCTATGCCATCCACAATGGGAAGGTGGGAATATTCTAGCAGGTTCTAGAATTCATCTAGAAACTGCTTCACAGTGGGGCCCCTGGACCAGACCACTGGCTAGAGATTCACCATCCTGTGTCCCCTCTCACCCCAGCCCATCCATGCCCAGCTGTCAGGTGAGGACATCCATAAGGCTTAACAAACCCACACGGAGTCTGAAGCCCATGCAGGTTGAAGAACCCCTGATGGAGACCCATGGATTCACATTGTTTGCCTGTTTTCAGTGCTAGGGATAGAACCCAGGGCCTTGTGCATGCTAAACAAGCATTGTGCCACTGAGCTACACCCTAGCCCTGATTTATCTCAGAACAGGGGCCAAACAAATGAGACAATTTGCCTAAGTTCACCCAGCTCAAATGAGAGTGAGGGTTGAGATTAATCCTATTAGGTTCATATTTTTTTGCTTCCTGAAAGTTAGTGCAACTTGTATCTTAAATGTTAATCTTTGGTTCATGTGTCAGCGAAAACTCAGCCGATTCTGGAAGACTGGCTTTTATTATTCAGTTGAAGTTTTGGAAGTGTTTTGTTCCTAGGTTTGTCATTCGACACCTGCTCCACCTGAGAACACGCACCAGTTTTCTGGGCAGCGAGGGGACCGGATTGGTCTCCTCTGGGACAGCAGAGGTTCAGCTCCTGGCTCAGGGGCAGAGCACAAGGTGACCAGCTGACAGGCCCAGCACTGGCTGGCCCAGTGGAGACCTAGTACCCTCAAGAGAGCCTTAGGAAACCCCTCTTCAGCCCAGGGTGATGCCCCCCCCACCCCACCTGGGCCTGGCTCCTGATACTGTCCCAGGAGCAGAGCTCTACCCAGCCTGACCCCCGCCCCCCTCTGGGCATGGAGCAGGAAGGAGAGACTCTGAGGCCATTGATGACACTTGCTGACCCTGCACAGCACAGCATGCTTTGGCAGCTCTGTGCAGTCCTCACATTGTTAAAAGACAGTAATGGTGTGGATGGCTGGATAAAGAAAATGTGGTTTTTATACACAATGGACTGCTACTCTGTCATAAAGAAGAATAAACTTGACACATTTTTAGGTAAATGGATGCACTTTGAGACCATAATTTTAAGTGAAATAAATTAGACATACGTGTTTAAATAAGGCATTGTGTCTCTGGTTTGATTAATTGAAATTTTTTTGGTATGGGGGATTGAACTCGGGACCTTGTGCTTTTGAAGCAGGAGGCGAAACCACTGAGCTAAATCCCCAGCCCTGGTTTGAGAAATTCGAAGGATAAATAAGGAGGAAAATGGAGGATAGATATTGGAAAGTAGAAGGACAATGTTCAAATGGGAAGGGGAACAAGCAAGGGGTGAGAGGGAAAGGAAAGAAGGAAATAGGAATAAAAAATAAAAAAGAATGGAAGGAAAACAATAGACACAAAGTTTTGTAAATGGAGAGGGGAGCATAAGGATAGAAGAGAAGGGAGGGGAATGGAAAAAAAGAATTAAGATATATTACGTCCAAGTTCGATCCCTGATACAAAAAAAAAAAAGATATATTAAGCACAGGTACAAATTCCCTATGAAAAAAGTGATCATTACATAGTCCAAAATGTACCAATAAATTAATTTTATAAATAAATAAGAGAGTGACAAGGAAGACAGGGAGGAGGAAAAGGTGCCAGTTCACAATTTGGGACCTAACTGAAAAAGATGAGATTTCCAGGGGACAGGAAGTTGTGGACCCAACTTGAGTTCCCAGCCAAATCTTTCAATTTCATTTTTTCTTAATTTTCTTGTTAAATAATCAGTATATCTTTCACCCATTGTCCCAGCCTGTGACCCCCTGAGCCACCCTGGGAGGGCACCTAACTCTAACTGCAGGGATGGATGGAAACCGAGCAGGAGAGCATGTGGACGCTGGGCCCCGCCCAGCAGCTGGCTGGACAGCTCAGCTCGCTGCTTCTCTCACTTCCTTCCCACTTCTTCCCACTTGCTGGCTCCCAGCACAGGGACAAAGCTCCTGCTGGCACCCGCCAGCCCTGTCCCCAGCAGCCTCACCACCCAGGTGAGCCTGGTGCACCCGAAGCTCCTCTCTCCCTCCCTACCCTTGCCTTTCTGCCTGTCCCCCTCTCTGCAGCAAAACTCGGAGCCTTTCAGCCTGTCTCCACTCTTTGAGCAGGGCAGGGGGTAAAACGGGCCTGTGAATGGGGAAGAGTAGACAGGGTGGATTAATGGCAGCGCAGAGGAGTGATAGAGCCTGAGCAGAACAAAACGAGGGCGACCCGGCCGAAACAAAGCTCCACAATAGATCATTTCTGAGAAGTCATCTGGGCGGCTTTGAAACCCAGGGCTGTGTGTCCCCGGCCGTGTCACGTCCCTGGGCTTTCAAGACACATGAATGGAGTGGGAACAGTAACTCTTTTTCATGCCTCTTTTCAGGGGTCTTGTCGACAGAGAAGGATTTACCATTCAATTCCCGTACTTTTATGTGGGAAATTAGGAATTTGCCCCTTAAAAAGAAATTGCCTTTTAAACTCTCATAAATTCTAGTGCTTTTATAGATTTACCAAAATTTCTTCCCCCTTTCCCTCCTTCCATTTATATAACATATTCTGAAATGCTCATAGACACACTCTCAGAATTTCCATCTCCTCCATTTGCGTCTGGAATCATCTGTTCCCAACATCTGCAGTCCAAGCATGAGCCCCTCTTTCTGGGTCTCTGTCCCTAACCACTGCCCTTCCTACTCTTCAGCACATGCCCAGCTTATTTTGGAATAAAAAGACCCACATCTCTGTCTGTCTGCAAAGGGGACAAGTGTTTTCCAAGTCTGTGGAGGGAAAGATGAGAGGAAAGAGCGGAGACATTCATGCATTCACTTATTCTTTCCTAGGTCCACAGATGCAGAGCAGGGGTGTGAGCTCCTTGGACTAATCCTGAATATGGCTACTTTTGAAAACTGTCTAGTAAAAACAGTTGAGTTTTACTACAAGAGAGAAAATGTCCCCCTGGCACAGCCTGGCGGCGGCCCAGCAAAGTAAGCAGCATGGACCTGGCTCCTTCCTCTTCAGAGCCCACAGCGCTTTGCCACACTAATCCCATTAACCTTCCTCTCAGTTTCAGTGGTTCTGAGGGAGACTTGAGAGGTGGTTCCTGGCGCGAGGAGTTTGGATCCCGGCCAGCGCATCTGACCCTGCTCCCCAGGCCCTTTGAGGGGGCTGTTTTGGGAGCAGAGCAAGAAAGCACAAACAAGGAAAGCTTGGCATAGGAGACACAGCCCAATGTAGTTCTGAGCACCCCTCTTCCCAGCTCCTGCCTGGGGAGCTGGGGAAGAGGCAGGGAGCACTCTCCTGAAGCCTTGGGAGGGCTGGAAAGGGGGAGAGGGAGGGAAGGGAAAGAAAGCTCCCAGCCTCTTTCTCTTCCTCCTCCTCCTCTTCCTCTTCTTCCTCATTTTCCTTCTCCTTCTCCCAGATCTGTAAGATGAGACTAGGGCTGCTAACCACTTCCTGATGTGCAAAAGCTTAAAGGTGGGCCTCTTTCTTGTTAGATTTCTTAGATATGCAAAAGCCAGACCCAACAAAAGTGGAATAAACTCAGCTTGGACGGGTTCAGACCTTGATGTCACTTGTCTGGGAAAAAAAAAAGATAAGAAATCTAAGAATTTCCTATTTCCGAGAACAGGGTAACAACTTTAGAAAGAAAACCCCAGTACTGACTGGGTTGAACTCTGCAACTCTAGAAACAGAGTAATTTCTTTCCTTGTCCATAATAACATCAAAAAGAGTCAAGATATTGCTCATTGTGAGGCTAAACCTGCACTAGAAATCAGTGCTGGGGGTTGGGTGTAGCTCAGTAGAAGAGCACCTGCCAAACATGTAGGAAGACCTGGGTTTATTCCCCATCATG